GCAGGGTAGTTCGGGCACCCAGATATGCCTGACAGTATGTGTTTATGTGGTATGATGGGGGAACTCACTAAGCTTCGTGCTTACGGTTTATAGTTTTGGTTTCAGGTACTTCTTCGAAAGGAAAGGATTCGGCATGACTGCAGCGCATCACACCACGATTTTTCGCATTATGATGTTCTTGGGATTTGTACTCTGACATTATTATATTATGGCATGTTTTTGAGACATATGACTTATGGGTTTTTATGAAATAAGATAACTCGATGATGTTTTCAAGAATCTGTGTTATGAATTATTATATTAAAAATGAAATTTTTGGTCTTGAATTTTGGGATGTTACAATATTTCTTGAATATTCAAAAAATTTGTGACATATAGGGTGTCGAACAAAAGAACGAGAAGGATTAAAGATACTTTCAACTTTGCATTTGATGATTATTATGTTAAAAGAATTGAGCATGAGTTTCTACAAAATCCAATTCTTTCTACTTCTAATAATGGTTTTGAACAAATGCTTACCTTTGATGTTGATTTTGACTTAATCTTTGATATTCTTGACATATCAATCAATTTTAAGGTTAAATTTGAAGATAATCAAGTTCCTGAGGCGTCAAAAGATTCTGATTTATTCCATAGTAACTGATGGGCAATCAGATGAATGTGTAACTTCGACACCAAGTGCACATGTCGAAGAAGGTCATTCTTCAATACCAGTTACAGTTGAGAGGGAGCAACTAAAAACTCAATCTCAAGTTGAGGGGGAGCAATTGATATCGAATGTTATTGTTGAGTGGGGAAACAGAGAGCTGATCCATGTGTTCAGGGGGAGTAGGGATAAACACATGTTAAAGATATCAATCCAATGAATATCGAATTTGAACAAGATGCTCAAGGTAATGCAAATTTAAATGATGATATCAATGATACTCTTTCTGTTGCACAAGATTTTTCAGATGCAGAAGAAATCTTTGAGGATGTTGATCTTGATTTTGATCCATCTTATCCTCCAATGGAGAAATGGACTCGTGATCATCCCAGAAAACAAATTCTTGGTAATCTAAACTCTGGTGTGTTAACAAGAGCACATATAAGAGCTAGAAATGAAATTCTTAATGTTCACCAAGAATTTTGCATGTTTAATGTTTTCATTTCTAAAACCAAACCTAATACAATCAAAACTGCACTAGAACATCCCGATTGGGTTGTTGCAATGCAATCTGAATTGGTTGAGTTCGATAGAAATAAAGTTTAGAGGTTAATTCCTAAACCATAAGGTGTTTCTATGGCTGGTCCTAAATGGGTTTTTAAAGATAAAGTTGATAAAGAAGGAAATGTTGTTCGCAATAAGGCAAGATTAGTGGTAAAAGGTTACAGTCAACAATAAGGTATTCATTATGATGAAACCTTCGCTCCTGTCGCAAGACTCGAAGCTGTTAGAATTTTTCTTGCATATGCAGCTCACAAGAACCTCGATGTTTATCAAATGGATGTAAAGTGTGCTTTCCTCAATGAAGTTCTTGAAGATACATTGTATGTCGAACAACTACCAGGGTTTGTAAATGATAAGTTTCCTAATCATTGCTATAATCTTGATAAAGCTGTATATGGCTTAAAACAAGCACCAAGGGCATGGTATGCAACGTTAACCAATTTTTTGAAAATATCTAAATTTAAGCAAGGATGAGTTGATCCCACATTATTTCGAAATAAAGTTAGTGATCATCTAATGTTTGTTCAAATTTATGTCGATGATATAATTTTTGGTTCTACTCACCCTGCTTTGTCGAAGGAATTTGAAAATCTAATGAAAAGCTAGTTTGAGATGAACATGATAGGGAAGATATATTACTTCTTGGGATTGAATAGTCGGCAGAACAAAGAATGCATCTTTATCAATCAGGAGAATTACACAAAGAGCTTGCTTGGAATTTTTGGAATAACAAATTGTTCAAATGCAAAAGTTCCAATAGTTTCTGGCACGAGATTGAATCCATCTTTGGATAAAATTGTTGTGGATTGGAAGAAATATCAAAGCATGATAGGTTCTTTGTTATATTGGACTGCTAGTCGACCTGACATCGTGTTTTCGGTTTGTAATTGTGCCAAGTATCAAGCAAATCCAAGAGAACCACATCTCACTGCAGTCAAAAATATCTTTCGACATCTACATCGAACTCCTACGCTTTGGATTTTGGTATCCAGAAAACACAAGATTTTTCATTCAAGAATATTCAGATGCAGACTTAGGAGGTTGTCAACTTGATAGAAAAAGTACAATTGGAGGTTGTTAATTTCTTAACGGGAAGCTTGTGAGTTGGCAGTCGAAGAAGCAGAAAAGTGTATCAATATCTACAGCAGAGGTTGAGTATATTGTTGTTGCTGCTTGTACTTTGAAAGTGATATAGATTCAAAGGCAACTAAGTGAATATGTGATCAACATGAATAAAATTTATTTCTTTTGTGACTCTCAGAGTGTCATTCGCATATGTCATAACCCTGTTCAACATTCAAAGACAAAACATAGTGCTCTTCGATAACATTTCATCAAAGATCATGTTGATGATGGTAATATTGAAGTTCACTTTGTTAACACCACAGATCAACTTGCAGATATTTTCACAAAACCTCTTGATGAAAAATCTTTCATGAGAATTTTAAATGGATTGAGAATGATGGAAGCTTGTTATGTTCCAAAATCTAACTGATATCTTAATCTTTGATATCGAAGGTTTTTGCAGACTTCGATACTTATCTTACATCGACAGTGGCACCAGACCATTCAAAGATTATTGTTCACAGTCAGAGCTTTGACTTCCTTCGAATTCGACAGTTGCTTTGAATCATTTAACGAGAATTGGTTTACTATCGATGTTTTGGTAAAAGAATTATTTGTCTTTCAATTCAAAAATCAAAAATCACAAAAAAGATTTTCTTAAATTCTGTTTTTTCATTTAAAATCCAAAATCCAAAAAGATTTTTCTATTATAAAATTTTTCAAAAATCCAAAAAGATTTTCTTTATTTTTTGTCTTTTAATTCTAAAATTCTAAAATTCAAGAAATCCAAAAAGATTTTCTTTATTTTTGTTTAAAAAATTCCTAATATTTTTGGGCATATCATTTAACACTTGTTGTTTATTTACATGCAACAACGAAGATCAAAGGGATAAGGTATTGTTTGATACAATTGACTAGTTAAGTGTCCCTAGAAGTATGTTGTAGCCTATTGTCCTAAGCCTCATAAACACTCTGTTTGCTAAGACTTAATGAAATTTTTATTCTTAAAATTTCTTCCCAATAGGCTATATTAACAAAAGTTATCGAGCTACCTTTCTCTAATCATTTTGTAGTTTAGAAATGACTGCTTGGTCACTATTCGATAGCATAGGTACTTTGATTTTCTTAACCAGCCTTGGAAACCGATGACGTCGTGGGTATATACAAACCTAAACATAGGGTTCTTTTTCTAAACCATTCAACCATGATTTTTGATTAACCCTTGACATTCAAGGTCTGAACCAACTTAGAGTTATGATTATTCAAATTGTTGTAATGATCATTCTTATAGTTACCATAAGTTTGTGAGAGACTTGTTGTCCATCTTCTTATCTTATATTTCTTACGCTTTGTACACACAATGATGCATATCCCAAGACATCTCTAGTCAGAACCAACTAGGATGTAGGTGTGCCAAAACTATGTGTTTATGATCTTGAAATCATTTTAACCATGATGATAGTAAGACCCACAAACCAATGCATTTTCAAGGAATTGACGGTGAACAATTTATTGTTCTAGATTTTTACAAGGAATTGACAGATGAAACTTCATGTTTCAATGTACCATTTTTTTAATGTTTAAAATATCATTTTCATTCTTTTTGCATGATCTTAGTGAAATTGACTAATCTCAATTCATTTCTACCAAAGAAGATCCAGCTCTTTATTTTTTTTCATGAAATGATATTTTCGTTTGAACATTTTTCTGAATCTTTAGTTACTACAAAATCTCACTGAAGCTTACTTGTTGATTACATTGATCACTCAAGTATTTTCTTACATTGTTTTGCTCTTATGTTAAGTTGAAAATATTTTTAAAAACAAATCCTACCTTCGATACTGACTAAAAGAGGCCCTTCGATACTTCTCAACAAGTATTCAATTATAATTCACAGGAACCCACACAAGCACTTCGATATCCCTCTTGATTTCTAAGGAAGAGAATATTTTCCCAGGATCTTAGTACCTTTATATCAAAGTTTATTTGATATTATGACTTGTCCAAAATTTTCTTATGTTTGATTCTATCTTTTTCTTTGGATACACATTGGCACTGAAATACTAGAGGTTTTGGGTATTACCAACTCATACCAAGATTTCATAAAGTTTGGTTTATTATTTCGCTTACAATGCCCATAAGTGAATGAGACCTAGCCTTAACTATAGAAGATTGGTTCTTGGTTACTATCGAAGTTGAGCAATTATTCGATACTTCATTTTGCTCATGTTCGATACTGATTATAAGACAAGGTAACACTTCGTGTGATGATGTCAAACTACTATGGATTTATCTTTGATAGAGGAATTTACTTATTACATCTATACATGGAAGATAGAGACCATGTCACTTCAATTACATACTTTACACGTGGAATGTTCCGATCGGTTAATGGTTCAAATTCAAATTTGACGCCATTTATAAAAGAGTTTTTTACATTTCCGATTCAGTTTCTGCTCTCCTGATTTATCTCAAGAACCCTAACCCTAAAAATTCTCTCTGCAAAATTCTTGATAGAAATTGATCATCATGTCTAGCATTCCTACTGCAATCGATCAATAACTGATGAAGTTGCTTCTATTCCTCAAATGAAGATCCAATCAAACAATGTTTGGTTTAATCCCAACTTGTCTGCATATCCTGAAGAATTCAATATGTTGGTTCAATGCTTGAACGATTATGTTCTTGCTTACACATTATCGTCTTCTTTTTCTAGATCGATGCAATGGCCATTTATAACAAGGATGTTGATGTTGTTACGTTCCAGATGGAATCTAAAGGAACAAAGAAGTTGGTGAAGAAGCAGTTTACCCAGATTCTTCAATTGTCGGCTGAAGGTCCGTTTGAAGTCCCATCTTTCGATCAAGTGCTTCCGATACTGAATGAAATGGGATACAATCCTCCTATTTCTGTTATTAGTGATTTTAGGAAGTCGAAATTACCGATTCTATGGAGTTTCTTCTTTGGTGTTATGATTCATTGCTTGACGGGGAGGAACTCTAGCCTTGATAAAGCCAAGCTACAATTATACTGTGTTATGGTTGTATTGTATTATGGTTTGAAGATTGATTATGATTCGTTATTATGGGATGAATTCACGACCTATGTTAAGCATTCAAAGAAAGCGTCGGAAATAGCGAGTGCTCGATTTTGGAGTTTGATTTTATGAGAAGCCTATAATCAAGCAGGAATTCAAGTTCCTGATGGATTCGAAGTTGTTCACTTCTCTCATTTACAAATTCCAAAGACTTCTAATGATGATCCCTTTGAGTTTCCATCAGTTGCAAGCATTCCTGAAGTTATGCTTAGCTTGGTGGTTGAGTCGAACTTTGTATTGGTTCAGTTTAGGAAAACATTGAGTGTTGATCCTCATGTTTCAACTCCTAAGAAAAGGAAGTTGAAGACTAAGGGAGTTAGAATTCAGGAACCATCTGGTGTAGAACAACCCAAGAAGAGAAAAGCAGTTGGGGTTTTAAAAACCACAGGGAAAAAGCAACCATCGAAGCCTACACAAAAGAAGCCTAAGAAGACTATTGTTGATGAAGATAAGGTCTTGGTTGAAACTGAATATGAGGAAACTGATATTGAGGTTCAAGAACCTATTTAAGAACCAATTCAAGAACCAGTTTAAGAACTCATTCAATCTTCATAGTATGAACGATAAGGAAATACAGATGACGTTGATCAAATGCTTCATAATAATCCATCTGTTTCACCACGAAGGGATGCCTCTATCGAATCGAATCTCGAGGAGGCAAGCAACATGGATGTCACTGTGAACATATATAATGTGGACACAGACATCATACCCAGTGAAACACCTTTGACTACTATTTCTGAGTCGAATACAGTTATACCACCCGAAGGTCCTACTACCAAGTCCAATATGGAGGAGGATAGGTCTTCAGACATCCCTGAGAACTTATCTAATAAGAACTCAAATGTCAATATGGGTGGACTCCTTTGATGGACTCATCTATAGCTCAACCACCATCAACATCACCACTGATAACTTCGACAGTTTCATCTTCCACAATTCCATTCCAATCACCAACTTTTGAAGGTATCTTACAACAACCTATCTCTACTTTATTTTGTAACGTCCCAGAAATAAGACCCAAAAAAAATTCATTTTTAGATTAATAAAAACAACAAAACCTACAACATTGTTATAAAACCATGATTATCAAATGTACCGATACATCATCAATATCAGAGTAAATCACAAAGATGTGAAAACGAGTGGTGTGTGCACTACAATCATCCCGAGCTCTTCCCTTTGGAACCAAAAGTACCTGAAACATAAACTGAAAACCGTAAGCACAAAGCTTAGTGAGTTCCCCAAAATACAGCATACCATACATAAATAAACACATAACGGGCCCCGTCAATGAGTGAATCGATCCCCGTCCACACTCGCATAATGGGCCCCGCCCACTGAGTATAAGGGGCCCTGCCCAACATACAAATCATATAAGCACATACACATACAAGAGTTACACAAACATCTAGTATCCTAGCATCACTGATCATGGGCCGACACTAGTGCCTTACACCCGCTAAACATGGTGAGGAAACTCACCTCGCACTGCTAAATCTCACAGAAAGAATCTATGGCTGTTGTCCCGCTAAAATCTTTGCGCTGTCAGTTACAAAATATCATCCAATCAATAATTGGATCCCAACACACACAAAGAGTCTAAACTAGGGTAAAAGACCTTTTTACCCTTCCTTATGTTTGGCCCAAGGCCCAAGCCCAATCCAAATTGTCCAAAAGCCCAAAATTCCAAAATAATCATTCCAAGCCCAATTATGAAAATTTGGCCCAAATCTCATTCATGGGCCTTTTCCAAGTGAACCCAAAACAAGCATCATCCCAAAAACCTGATGGCACAACAAGGCTGTAAACATCTAAGTCCAAACGTGGCCCAAACCGAAAGCCCAAGCGTCCAAAGCCCAACCTGATGAGTACGCGGGGCATACTCAGCACGTACGCGCAGCATACTTGCTTTAAGGCTTGTACACTAAGCGTACCTGCTTGTACGCCAAGCATATTCCCCCATTTGGCCAACTTCCATTTTTCCAGCTCTTAGTTAATTATGACCTCAATCCAAAATCATATTTTACTTCCTTAAGATAGTTTATCACGTAAAGTTGCCAACTTTACGTGCATGCATGGCTTAATGAGGCTCTTAGAGCGCAAATGTCACACCCCCAAACCGAAACGGCAGAAACGTTCGGGGGCGGATGACTTTATGTATAGTATCACAACAATTGCATTATAGTAATCAAAGTAAACACAACCATTACATTGAATATATATAATAAGTGTTTACATCAGTTTGATTCATATTTTTATACATCCAAAAGTATAACAAAAGTAAAAGACGAGACTCTATACTCTCCGTCTTCTCAAAAGTCTATCGAGGTACCTGTCTAATGATTTCCTGATAATACAAGCAGTTTTGAAAAGGAGTATCAGCATAAAAGCTGGTGAGTTGATAAGCATCTTTTTGTAATAAACATGTTAATGAATTAGTGAAAATGTTTGTATGTTTCCAAGAAAATCCAATATTTTCTAACATGTGATTTTGTTATAATGTTCCGTAAGTGTTTGTTTGAATGTTTATTTACCACCAGATTAATTGTATAATACTAATTTGAATGTAAAAATCCCTTTTTGTAAGAAGACCTTGGCTATCACTAGTATGAATAAAATGTTCTGTTTGAAAACCCTGGTTATTACCAGTATGTATAGTAGTTTTATTTCTCATAAAGGAACCATGTATTTTCCCAAACTATGCTAAATAATCATTGTTCATGTAAAGTACATTACTACGTAATTATATCGTTGTTATCTACTTGCGAGTGTGATGACCATACTAAACATGATATGGCGTGAATCGGGCACCAGTATCCTTTATGAATTTGTCACCCGTAGACCTGCCGGTCCTACTGTAGCTAGCAGCAAGGTGCGGGATTGTCAGTCCCGTATAGATCTATACACAAACTCACGCTCTCCCTCGGGGAGATTCTGGATCATAAGGGTAGTCCTTTATGAATTTGTCTGGATCATAAGGGTATAGATCTATACACAAACTCACACTATCCTTTATAAATTTGTCACCCGTAGACCTGTCGGTCCTACCCATAGACCTGCCGGTCCACTTAGTTATGTTTGTAAGCGCCCAAGGACGTGTCTCCAACTAGATTAACGACTTTACAAGTAATAATACTGGAAAACCCTTTTTATAAATAACGAAGAGGTTTATAAAAGATAAGTTTGTAAACCGTTGAATGAATTCTCAACTATACCTATTATAGTTTGTGTGTTTGTATATGTATATCCTTGTATGAATTCTCAAACTATACCTAATATAGTTTGTGTTTTTGTATATGTATAACCTTGTATGAATTCCCAAACTATACCTAATATAGTTTGTGTGTTTGTATATGTATAACCTTATATAAATTCCCAAACTATACCTAATATAGTTTGTGTGTTTGTATATGTATAACCTTGTATGAATTCCCAAACTATACCTATTATAGTTTGTGTGTTTGTATATGTATAATCATGTATTGATCTGAAAACTATGTGGTTAAGCTTGTAAGTTGAAAACGTCCCTTATGCTCAGCATAATACAGAAGGGATAAAATATCTAAATATTTTATAAAAGTATAGAAACTGTATGTTTGTATCGATTGCATCCGTTTTAAGTTTATTGAAATATTTTTGTATAAATTTCATAAAATCATTTATGTTTGGCTTGTATTCCCCCCCCCTCCCCTGAAAACATTAAAAACTCGGAAAATGTAGGGGTATAAACTCACCTGCTGCGAGTGATGTGTGCGTAAGATTGGTTGTAGGAAGCTAGGTGTCGAGTGAAGACTCGAGTATACACGGATCCTATTTAGCATATATTGACATATATTTGTATCAAATTAGTGTATAACGCAACTAGTTATGATAGGGAATCACCCTAGGGACTAGCAAACACTCAAAACTAAGTGTTAGAATCACATATGATTGAATAAGGGAGGTTCACGGCCACACTTAGGTGTGTACGGCCGTACACTCATGGTAAAACATGCTAAAGAGTGTCTTTGAACAATGGGGAAGCTAGTGGGTCGATTGCTCATCAAGAATATGAACTAGGTTCTCACTTTGGAGGCCCTTTTGGGGTGTTTTGAGGTGTGTACGGCCATACAAGGGTGTACGGCAGTACACTCCTTTTATTCTTGCAAAATGGTCGATTTTTGGGTCTCAAATCAAAGGGGTTCAAGGGTTCAAGAGTTCTAATGGTTTACTAGCACCTAGCAAGTGTTTAAAGCCTTATATCATGGACTTAACAAGGGTGTACGGCCATAGATAGAGTGTACGGCCGTACACTCTTGATGTTCTTGAGTTTTGAAGATGATTCATGGATTAAATCATGAATCCTTCCTAGATAATGAAATGAGTCAACTAACCAAGGAAGAATACTCACTTTTCTTGAAGATCTAGGTGAAAAAGCTTGATGATAGTTGAGAGAGAATCCGAGTTCTTGACTTGAAAGTTGAAGAAATGAATGAAAAATGAAGGGAAGGCTTATATATAGGGGTGGGTGTACGGTCATCATGGATGTACGGCCATACACCCATGTGTACGGCCGTACACTCCTATTGAAGGAGTGTTTGGCCCGAAATGCAACACTATGACTTAAGGTAATTCATCCCTAAACCCAAACCTTGGTTGTACTAGGCTTAGAACACTTAAACAGGCTCTAAACAATTCCAAAAGATAGCGAAATGAGTCTGACTTTGATTGAATTGGACGATTGAACAAGATAGAAATTTCGGGTTGTCACAACAAAATATCTTAATAATTGACTTAATGCATGCATGAGACCATATACACCATAAAGTTTGCACCTTTAAGCTTAAGGAACCCTCCAAACATCCAGATCTAAAAGATTTAGCTTCTAAAACGGTCTTAACTCATCAAGACCAACCAAAAGGGACTAAAATGGCAATAAACAAGTCCAAAAGAAGATCCATAAGAGAACTTGTCAAGATAATATTTGTATACCTCAAATAACTTGCTAAAGGAGTGATGATTCTGGATCTCTACGCTTCACACTAAGCAATGCACCTTTAACCTTATTCTATCCCTTCAAAATAAGCAAA